CCCGGCGCGGGGAAGGGATCAAAGAGCAGGGGCTTCCCTTCGATTCCACTCCTATGTTGTTCAATGTTTCTTTGGACGGCGCGTGTGAGGAAGAGGGGCCCAGGCAAGTGGAACAGAGGAGAACGGAGACGACGACTCTAACGGAAAAGCCCGACTCGAACGGAAAAGCCCCTCACACACGCCGACAGGGTCGGCGGATTTGTTTATTTGCAATGTCAGATTTGAGGGGAAGCCGAGCGGCTGGTTTTCGAGGGGACGGGGAGGCGGAGAGGTTCGAGGAGCGAGGTGCGATGATCGAGTCTGTTGGGGGGGCGCTTCTGGTCGTCTCTGGGCCTGCTCGCCGCCGTGGCTGCATCCACATCGGAAGTCTGGGCCGAGCGCACCCCGGGTCAGGCCGTGGAGGCCCGGACCTCCGAGTGTTGCGAGCGCCTCGCGGCGGTTGGCGTGTATGGTCCTCGGCCCGGGGTCCGGCAGAGCACAGCCCGAGACGAGAGCCAGGTCGTCGCGGCGAAAGGATTCAGACCTCCAGGGTTACGTCGGGCACGTCTCTCTACAGCAGGAATATGCAATAATAGTGAAACATAGTCTGGGTACGATTTGTTGACCATGTATATATGATTTTTTGTAAACAACAAAAACAATTGCTCAACATCTGCACGTGGGGGGTCATGCCCGACCTAACTCCAGGGGTCGACGTTGACACTGTTTGGCCAGCAAGGGCGCTCCATTGTCCCACAGTTCAGGGTCCATTTCGGTCCGGTCGGTCCGATTTGACACTCATTGATTCCGGCTGGCTCAATTCGATTCTCTTCCAGCACACCGCGACTCGGAGCGGCCGAGCTGACGCGATTCCGATTCCGTGTCGATGTGGCCCGATCCGACGCACATTTCGATCCAATCTGTATTTCCGGCTCGATGCTAGTTCAGCGACGCAGACAAGCGGGGTTGTTGTTCTAGACGTTGGCACGTAAGCTGCCCGCGAAAGGTCGCGCGTAAGCGCCCGCGTTCCAAATGTGGTGTGCCGCGCTGGCGCTTCACGTAAGCCGCGGCGTAACGTCGCTAATGATGGCATCTCGCGTAAGACTTGTTTCTTTTCGTCGCTCAGTGTATTTCGTATGCTGTACACCCCAAGCCACTGACGTCGTGATCTTATCGCAGCGCAGGCCTCTGGAGGTCTCGACCTCTTCCGCGGGACTGATGTTGCATCCCCGTGTAGTCGCTTTGCCGGTCCCGGGTGCCCTGTGAGGGTCCACAGACGCAAACATCGCCAAATTTGTCCGTCGTCTCTTTTGTTGGCGACGCCAGGGCTTCTGTGCACGGGGGCTCCGATCGGGTGAAGGGAACCATGCACGTGCACCAGTCTTGGCCAGGCCCATCCTGGGCCCAGGATCGGCGCATGTGTCATCGCGCCAACATCGCAGAGCGGATTTCGCTCGGAATACGATAGGGTGGGCCCAGAGTGTCCTGGAGAGTTGTGTTCCAGATTTCGAGGTGAATTTCGCGCGGATTTGTGTTGGGCCAGGAACGATGACCACAAAGAATCCACGCGAAACTCATATTTCGTTTTTCGCTCGCCGCTTCGGGCAAAACATCCACGCAGAACTCCGCTGCAGCGCGTCTGCGATGCCGGTGCAATGACATGTGTCTTCTTGGCCATTATAGGCCCCCCAGATCCCCGCAGCACCCCCAGCGGTGATCCGCGCAGAGCTTCCCCGCCGACCAGACGGCCCCGGTGCGATGCCTCGAGGCCCGTCCCCAGGCGCTCGCCCGGGCGGGCAGGCCTCGCCTCCACGTCCGAGGCGCTGGCCCAGAGCAAGAAGGTCTTCGTGGGCGGCGTCCCTCAGGAGATGAGCCAGGATCGGTCGGGTTTTCGGCGATCGTCATGAGAATGAGGGGAAGATGATTGCGGGAAATGGGTTCCCTCAGGAGATGGGCCAGGATCGGTCAGGTTCTCGGCAACCGTCATAAGAATGAGGGGAAGATGATCATGGGAAATGGGTTCCTTCAGGAAATGGGCCAGGACCGGTCAGGAGGGGAACATCGGCACAGGCATGTATCAACGCGGGTCTGTAGCAAGTGGAGTCCCTCAGGAGATGACCCAGGATCGGTCATAAGGGAAGCATCGGCACATGCATACGTAAACGCTGATCGCCATTCAGCGATTGGGAAGAGATTGGAAATGGAGGGTACGAGGAAGTTCCAGGAGAGACATGGTGAAAAGTATGGGAGGCCATGGGATTTGTGTCGATATGTTCTTGAGCTCCCCCATGGCCCCTGTTTCAGCCACACGCAGGGCGGGGGTAGGGGGAGTGGGAGAGGCTTCTCAGAAGCAGCCCTGCTTCTTAGAAGGCGCGGGCCTTCTCAGAAGCCGTAAGGCCCGCGCCTTCTAAGAGGCGGCCTCCTTCTAAGCAGCCTTCCCCCTCCCCCTGCCCCCTTCTGCGTGCATACAGAAACGCTGATCGTGATGAGAAGATGGGGAACCATGGGAAATTGAATTGAGGCTACGAGGAAGGGCCAGGATATCTCCCTATCTATATGCGTGTACATATGCATGCATGTATGTATGTATGCATGTCTATATGTGTGTACGTATGTATGCATGTTTGTATGTATGTGTGCATGCATGTATGTTTGCATGCATACATGCATGCATGCACGCATGTCTGCAGGCATGTATGTGTATGTATGTGTGCATGCATGCATGCATGCACGCATCAAACTCACTCAACGGGACACCACGGGACACCACGGGACACTTGTCGATCGCACTATCGATCTCACTCAACGGGACACCACGGGGCACCACGGGACACCGCGGGACACCGCGGGACACCTCTCGATCCCTTTATCATTCTCACTATCGATCTCACTATGGATCTCACTCAGCGGGACACAATAGGACACCACGGGTCACTTCGGGACACCACATCGATCTCACTATCGATCTCACTATCGATCTCATGATCGATCTCACGATCGATCTCACTCAACGGGACACCACGGGACACCTGTCGATCTAGCTATCGATCTCACTATCGATTTCACTCAGCGGGACACCACGGGACACCTCGGGGCACCACATCGATCTCAGTGTCGATCTCATTATCGATCTCACTCAACGGGACACCATGGGACACCACGGGACACCAATCGATCTCACTATCGATCTCACTCAAAAGGACACCCCTGGACACCACGGGACACCACGGCACACCACGGGACACCAGCGGGACACCGGCGGGACACCACGCGGCACCGGCCGCCGGAGGAGCAACATTTGGTCTGGCCGCGGCCCAGCGACAGGAGGATTTCGGGACACCAGCGGGACACCGGCGGGACACCGCGCGGCACCGGCCGCCAGAGGAGCAACATTTGGTCCGGCCGCGGCCCAGCCACAGGAGGATTTCTTTTCGCCCGCCCACACAGCTTCGCCTCGCCCGCACGCGCGCACGGCACGCACGACACGAACCCGAAAACGACATCGATTTCCCTGTAGTGGGGGTCTCCGTTTCACGTCGGACTCACCCCCCAACCTCCGATACATTATATATATATATATATATATATATATGTGTATATATATATATATATATATATGTATATATACACATATGGGCGATAATATGGGAACCCGTGGAATTGTGCCGATAAGTTCTTTCTGTGCCTCCCTGGGGCCCCCTCGATCGGGACGGGCGACGAGGGGGTACAGAGCCAGCGTTTGCGCGCATGTGCTGTTCGCTGGGCGCGACTTCGAGGGGGGGTGCGATACATTCGGGGGGGAGAACGCCCCTCTCGGGCCCTTAAGGTCTCCTTCGGGGCCCTGCAGAGCCTCTTCTTCTGCAGCCCTCGCTGCCCCTCCATCTGTCGCCCCCCCCCTTTCCCGTTCATCGCCGCCCGACCTCCGAGCAGCGGCGAGGCCTCCTGGCTGGCCTGCAGGCCCACCAAATCATGTTCTAAGAACTATGCGTGGTTTGCCACAAACAGAAGAAGCATTTGTGGTTGGCACGGCATGTTCTTGGAGCATTTCTGGCTGAGACCGTCTTGGTTTAACACATCGGGTTCGCCGCCCAACCTCGCCTCGTCGGCGGTCCACACGCCACGCCTCGGGGGCCGCTCTCTGCAGCAAAGCTGCGCGCCCCTTGGCCACCCGAGGCCCGAGCGTGCTGGGGCACCCCAGGAGGCCAGACGACGAGGACCACCCGGGCCCCACGGGCCCGGTATGCTCTGGGCGCGTTCCCCAGCAAGCCGACCGCAGCATCGCCCACGTGAGGAGAGTTGAGCGATACAGTGGGGGCGCGCCATCAAGAGACCATGTGCTTGTCGTCGGGGTATCCTGGGTTTCTCTCCGCTCCGCGCGCAGCTTAAATCTGGACACAGCTCTTGCCCGCAGGCCAGGCCACGACCCGTGTGCTCCGGGCGCCATCCCCAGCGCGCCGGCCACAGCATCCCCAGTGTGAGGAAAGCTGAGCGATACGGCATCCCCAACGAGCCGACCACGGCATCCCCTACAGTCGGGGCCCTGAAGAAGAAACCCTTCTCGTTGGGAAGGGGCTCCGCGTTCCTTAAGTGTTTCACAGCTTGCCTCAGGCTTTCCTTATGTTTTCGACAGGGAATCGAAGGTTAACTTATGGACAAAAGGGGGCCTCGTTCCTTATTTAGGGTTCCTTAACTAGGTCAACTCCTCGACTCTACGCTAGTCGACCTTCGTCTACGTTGATCTGCTTTTTGGGTTCCCAGGTTCCAGTCTACTTCAGAAGCCTTCCTGCTTCGAGAGTCGACCGGCTGTCCCTCTTCTCCCTCTTCAGGGGGCGCGCGCGGGGATGCCTGGGCGATTTATCAGTACCCGCCGGGGCGCGCATACTCGGAGGCGACGATAGGGGTGGGGAAGAGGGAAGAGTCCACCGGTTCCCCGCTCCTGTAGCTGATGCTCCCGGCGACTCCGAGCAGGAGGCGCCAGCGTCTGCAGGAAAGCGCCTGGCGGCGAGGCCGAAGCCAGCTGCATGCAGCAGATTTCGTAACCCCCGCGAGGGCGATGGATGGGTGGGGGGAAGAAAGGTGCCCTTCTCGGGCCCTGAAGGCTCCCTTGGGGGCCATGATGTTAGGGGCCCTTCCGGGCCGAACAGGGGATCTTCAAGGCCCGAGAAGGGCACCTTCTCCCCCTCCCCACTGACTGCACCTAATTGCCCCCCATGAACTCGCGCCCGACTGATTACTCTCCAGGCGCGTGCTGCAAAGTGTCCCGTCGGCCTTCGCGGGTGCCGGAGCTGAGTCAGCTCGAGTGCGGCGCGGGATGAACCCCCTCGAAGGGCAGCGGGTGGGTGGGGGTGACAAAAAGGGTGGGGAGTGATTGGGAGACGTGGAGGAGCGACATCTGTTGCATGCAGCTGCTTACGGCCCCGCCGCCGAGCCCGTCCCTCGATACGCGGGCGCCTCCGGCCCCGGAAGTCGCCAGGAAAACGAGCTACGTGGGAGTTCTCCCCATACTTGCCAATCTCGTCTTCGCAGTCAAGACGCTGACATACGGACCGCTCAGGAGGGACTCTGGTTTCCGGGTCGTTCCTCGAATCTAGGTCGGGGAACCTGTCCAGCTGCCCCGCTACCATGCCTGTGCAACAACGCGGCAGAAAGGAGGCTAAGTGTAGGAACAGCCTGAGTTGGGACGGGTCGTGAGTTCGACCTCCTATTCGTCCGCGCGGTGAGAAGGTTGTCGACTTCACGCGCCGCGGCAATTCAGACATCGGCTTGAATTGGGGAGGATCATGATCCCGACCTCGTCTTCGTCCGCGCGTTAGGGATGATGATGATGATGGTGATGATGGTGATGAAGATGATGATAATGATGGTTGATGGTTGATGATTGGTGATTGATGATGATATGATGATGCTGATGATGATGATGCTGATGATGACGATGATGACGATGATGACGATGATGGCGATGATGATGATGATGATGATGATGATGATGCTGATGATGCTGATGATGACGATGATGACGATGAGGATGATGATGAGGATGATGATGATGATGATGATGATGATGATGATGATGATGATGATATTTGTTCTTGCACGGTTTTCATCTGCGCAATCCGCCGCCATTCGGGGGCTCAAGGCGCAAGGGCCGGCCGAGTTGCCGGATGTTTCCACCGTGGCTGGGGCGCGTCGCGGATGTGGCGGGCGCTGGGCTGGTGAGCTACCTGTCGCGCTGCCCGCCCTGCCCGTCGCTCCCAGCCCCGGCGAGCTGCAACGTGAGCCTCGTGTGCCCGAGCATCCCGCCGTGCCCGGCCCTGCCCAGCGTCCTGGGCGGGCCGCACTGGGCCCAGGCGTCCCAGCCGGGGCCGTCGTGCGGGCCTTGCCCCGCGCCGCCGACCTGCCCAGGGGAGCAGGTGTGCCGCTGCTGGACGGTGAGCTTCTCTCTGTTCCTTGTGGGGGTGCTCGTCGGGGCGCTCATCACAGGCGGGCTGGGGAGCTGCTGCCGACCGACGCCGAGGAGCTCGCGTGCTGCGCCTGTCCGTGCCTTGTCGGCTGGAGCTGGCCAGGATGGCGACCACTCAGTGGGTATACGTCTGGTACGCCGGCGAGAACAAGTGGCACCAGCACCTTAACTTGGGAAGGATCGCTCTCAGTCGGAGCGACCATGTCATCTACACGGCGGATGGCGACATGTATATCATCCAGATCCGGGATAATCCAGACATCCAGGCGACGAGGTTCGGCACGTACGCCACTCCCCCCGTCGGCCTGCGGAGGGCCGACGTCTACGGCTTCCGACAGGAGCCGACCCAGGCCGAGGTCCGTCAGCTCGTGGTCGAGGCCGAGGAGGTGGCGGGCCAGGAGTGCAGGCGCCGGGCGGAGCTCATCGGGGACCTGCAGGTGTTGCGCGGGCTGAAGGTGCTCGTCCCCCCTGGGGGGGCCGCGGCCGCCGGCCCTGCAGCGCCGCCGCCTGGCCCCGCCGTGGGCCTGCTGCGTGGCCGCGCTACTGCCGCGGGGGCGACGCCTCGCGCAGGTGGGGTGGCCGACGTGAACGACGGCGTGTGGCCCGTGGCGGCGTGCGTGGGCGACTTCAGGGTGGGCGACGAGATCGTGGAGCACGTGCCGTCGCCCTCCCGCGTGGGGGACCGGGACCTCCACCTGCTCCCGTCGGGTGAGGCCCTCTTCGTGGAGTTCGTCACCTCAGCGGCTCTGCCGGGGTTCTTGCAGCGCGCCGTGGGGGCCGACGCGAGGATCCTGCCCGTCACCCGCAACAAGCGGGGGAAGAGGGAGCTCACCTGGTCGGCGATGGTCGAGCTCACCAACCGAGAGGAGTTCGACGCCTCCGACTGGGGGCTCCCCGGCCCCCGCACGGCCGACTGGTGCATGGACTACATCCTGAATGAAGGCCTCGGGATCGAGGGCCACCACGAGCACTTCAGGTCGATCTGCAAGCTCGCGGCCTCGGACTGGGGCGTGCAGGAGCACTACCAGCTCAGCCTGCAGCTCAAGCAGGCCCTCTGCATCGACATGCTGGACGGCTCGAATCTAGTGTCGGTGGAGACAAAGTTCTAGTGTCGGTGGAGACAAAGTTCAGGAGGATGCAGACGATCGAGTTCGCCCACTGGGACAAGGCGAAGGACCAGGAGAGCAAGGGGATCGGCGGCAAGCTCTCGCTGGAGGAGCAGGCCGCGTTCTCGGGCGTGACGCGCGCCCACACGGCCATCATGATCTGCCCGGACCTCATCGAGCATGTTCGGGCGGAGCTCGAGAGAGAGGGGAAGCTCAACAAGAACCTGCGCCTGGCACGCGAGGAGCGCGAGTCCAGGCGCAAACATGGGTAAGCCAGGCACGGCCACTGGGAGCAGCAGGGACCCAGTCGGCCGAACTACTTCCTGCAGAGGTCCGAGGCCCTCGTCGGACCCTAGCGCCGCCACCCCGGGTCGTCGCGTGCCTCGTGATGTGTTCCCTCTACCTTATCCTTATGACCTTCAACGTCAGCGGGGCGAGGCTTTGCGAGAGCTCAGCCGCGTCGTTCAGCAACGACATCTTCGGCGGAGCAGTTTTGAGAGGGACGTGACTCGGGCTGTGGATGCATTGAATTGGTTGAACGACTCGTCTACTCATGTCGGGCGGGACCGCAGTTTTACAGCAGGCGCCCTGTCGCTGGCCCAGCGCCAGTGCCTGGCGCACATCAGCAGCTCCGTGGAGAAACTTGGTGCTCCTCCGCGAGATCTGTCTCCCGCAGAAGCGCTACGGCAGCTTCGCGCGGCCGGGGGCGGCTACTGCGTCGAGGAGTCGCCCCTCGGAAGCTATGACCCCGCGCTCGTCTCCTTGCCGGACGGGAAGGTGCCTCCAGTACCGCTCTCGGACGTGTGGGGCGATGGCGGGATATCCAAGGTCGAGCTTTTTGTTCAGCAGAGCCTGCTGCCGGCTGACGTGGCGGCCGCTCGACTGGACGCATGCTCTGTCAAGACTCCCTACTCGGACCCTCGGCTGAGGTGCGCACGGGACTGGGAAGGTTTCGTTCGTGATCTGCATGCTCGTAATTTGATCGACTTCTCGCTGGACGACGGGGTGAGGGTCGACGCATTTTTTGTCAAGAAGAAGGGGGGCCGCCTCAGGATGGTGATCGACTGCAGGCGCAGCAACGTCGTGTTCGCCGACCCCGCGCCTGTCGTCCTGCCCACGGGGGACTCGTTCGCCGCGCTCGAGCTGGACGATCCCGAGGGCATCCTGGACGTGGAGGGCGTTGACCTGAAGGACGCGTTCTACCACCTCGAGCTGCCCATCGAGCTAAGGAGGTACTTCGTGATGCGGCCCGTCCTGGCGGGCTCCGTCGGTGTCTCCAGCCTCGGGGGAAACCAGGTCGCGCCCGCGGCCAAGCTCTTCCCCAGGCTGAAGGTGGTGCCGATGGGCTGGTCGTGGGCGCTGTGGTGGTGCCAGTCCATCATGGAGCGCATCGCGGAGCAGTCGGGCTGCCCTGAGTCGCAGCGGCTGCATGACGGTCGCCCTGCGCCTGGCCTCAGCGAGTTCGGGCACCTCCAGTACGTGGACAACTTCGTCAGCTTCGGCTACGACCGTGTCGCCGTCCGCGCTGCAGTGGCGCGGGTCGCGGCCGAGCTGGAGCGCCGCGGCCTGGTGGTCACGCTCGAGGATCACGCTGGGGAGGAGGAGGGCACCTTCAACGTCCTGGGCTGGGACATCGCCGCCTCGGGGAGGCTGTCCGCCTCGGGGAGGCGCCTGTGGCGTGCGCGGCTCGCTGTCAGGTGCCTGCTCAGGCGAGGCCGCTGCTGCGGGGCGGACATCGAGCGCATCCTCGGCCACCTCATCTTCATCGCGCTCGTTCGGCGCGAGGGCCTCGCGCTTTTCGAGGCCTGCTTCAGGTTCGTGCAGACCTCGTACCACGTGGAGGCCCCGCTCCCGGGCGGCGTCCGCACCGAGCTCGCAGTGTGGGATGGGCTGGCGCCCCTCCTCTGGCGGGATCTGAAGGCGGGCCCGTCGATGGACGTGGGCGCGGTCGACGCGTCGCCGTGGGGCCTGGGCGCCTGTCAGTCCACCTGGGCGCCAGCGGCAGTCAAGTCCGTCGGGCGGTACTGCGAGCGGTGGCGCTTCGGGCGGGCGGAGAGGCTCCCGCCCCGGCGCCGCGCTCTGGCCGCCAGCCAGCGGGCGCTGGGCCAGGCCATAGCTGCCGAGGTGGGTGACCCTGCCGCCGGCGGCCCTGGCCTCGTTGTTTTCGCGTCGGCTGCCGACGCCCTGCCAGCCGAGCCCGTCGGCCCGCCTTTGGAGCGCGACCTGGCCGAGTTCCCCGAGGTTCCAAAACGTCTCCTCGAGCGCTCGGCCTGGACTGTCACTGGGAGGAGGAAGTGGGATCGTTCGGAACCGATGCCCATTCTCGAAGCCAGAGCGGTTCATTATCACCTTCGCCACGCCCTTCGGAATGCAAACAACCATGGCAAGAAGATCTTGGTGCTAGGAGACTCTCTGACGGCTGTGGCCGCCTCGTCCCGCATGCGAGCTCACTCACACGCAATGCTCCGGGTCATGCAGCGCATCTCTGCCCTGTCCCTGGCTTCTGGGTCGTATCTGTGCGTGAGGTGGGTTCCCACGGAGTTCAATGTGGCCGACGGGCCCTCGAGGGGCAGGGGATCTCCAACAAAGCCTACAGACATCATTCTTGACAAGCACGTCCCCGCTAAGCACGACATCAATAGCAAGCACGAGTACAACATCATCAGCACAGTCAAGCATGATATTACCGACATGCCCATCATCAGTAAGTGTGGCAAGCACGACATCAGCAAGCACGACAAGCACGACATCAGCAAGCACGAGATCAGCAAGCACGACATCAACAGGCACAGCTTTACCGACAAGCACGACATCAGCAAGATAGGCCAGCACGGCAGCAGCACGCACGACACCGACGTCAGCACGTTCTTTCCTTCGCATCGCCGTTTTGGTTCATGCTGTCCAGCTTCGAGGCCTTCGCCTAGCGAGAGTACGCCCCCAGTGCCCGTGCAGAGGAAGTGCGACTGGCATGCTGGGGCGGGCTCGCCGCCGGAGTCGGTCGCCGCGGAGCCGGCCTTCGTCGACCTCGGCAGCCTCGCGACCGGGCCCCCCGGTCTGGCCGGGCCGCCGCGCTGCTCGCCAGGCCGCGCCTGCCGCGCGGACCGCGCCGGGCCCTCTGCAGGGCGTGAGGCGCAGGCCGGCGGCGGCGACGCCGCGCCCCCAGACCCCTCGGGAGCGGGCGGCCGAGGTGCGGCCGCCGCCGGGCGTGCAGGTGCTCAACGCCGCCGCGGTGCGCACGGCGAGGGGCAGGGAGGCCTACCAGGTGCTGCACACCGCGTTCGTGACTTGGGCCAGGAGCCAGCAGATGGCGCTGTCCTCGGCCGCGGACGTCGACAAGGCAGCGGTGGGCTACCTGCACGTGATGTTCGACGAGGGGAAGCACCTGACCTACGCCAACCGCCTCATCGCGGCCATCGCTTGGATGCGGCCCGAGTTCAGTCGGCACGGCCAGCTCCGCCTCCCGCGGGCGAAGCAGGCTGCTGCGGGCTGGAAGAACCTGGCGCCGCCGAAGAGCCGTCAAGCGCTGCCGATCGAGGTGGTCTTCCTGATCATCAACTGGCTTCTCCTCCAGCGGTCCTACGAGGCCGCGTTGGCGGCGTGGCTGCTGTTCGAGATCTACGGTCGGCCGGGAGAGATCCACAAGCTGCGAGCCGTGGACCTCGTGCCGCCGCTGATGGCGCGGGGCGCGGCCCACCGCTTCTGGAGCGTGACGCTCCACGCAGCCGAGGTGGGCGACGTGTCCAAGACGAACGAGTTCGACAACTCCGTGCGGCTCGACCTGCCTCGTCATCAGCGGCTGGCCGCGAGCCTGGACTGGATGCTGGCGCGCAGGTGGGGCGCGGGCTGGAGGGCGAGCGCCCTCGCCCGAGAGGGCGGGGCCGCAGGCTTGCCAGGCTCGCTCTTCCTCATCTCGCCCGCGGACGTGTCCCAAGAGTTCCGGCGGGCGGTGACCGCCCTCGGCCTCCGCCGCCTCGGCGCCGTGCACCTGTACCAGCTGCGGCACGCCGGGCCGTCTCACGACTCCGCGGCCTCCTGCCGAACGCTGGAAGAGATACGCCGCCGTGGCCGGTGGCGCACCTGGAGCAGCGTGCGCCGCTACGAGAAGGGCAGCCGCCTGACAGAAGTGCTGCATCGTCTACCTCTCTGGCTGCAGCGACACGGGGGAGCCTGCGTCGAACACCTGAGCCGACCCGTGTTCGAGGTGCCCTCACCTTTGCCGCAGCCTGTCTGAGCGCGCCTGTCATACTCGAGCTTTTTTCAGGGCATGGAGGCTTCGCCCGTGCTGCAGGAGCCATGGGCTTCTGGGTTCTCGTGTGGGACGTGTCTCTTGGGGAACAATACGACTTGACGCGCTCAGAGAATCGTGCCAAGATCAACGCGTGGCTCCGGGCAGGTTTGCTGCTTGGCTGGCACGCGGGCGTTCCTTGTAATACACTCACACGTGCCAGAGGATACGGTATCGGTCCACCAGCTGTCAGATCTGACGAGTGCCTTTTCGGTCTCCCCGATCTGTCGTTTAAGTTGCAAGCTCAGGTTGATGCCTCCAACTGTCTGAACAAATTCGTCGCTTCGCTTGCCCGGGCCTCTCTGGCCCTCAGTGTGCCGTGGTCCGTTGAAAATCCCAAGACCTCTCGGCTCTGGCTTTTGCCGGACTACAAGCGCCTCCACCGCCGTCGTGGTGTGGAGCATGTTGTTACTTCTATGTGCATGTGGGGTACCCGGTGGCGGAAAGACACAGGGCTCCTCCTTGGTTTGCTGGATCCCACGCCGTGGCGTGACACCAGATGCCAGGGCTCGAAGCGCGGATTATGTGCTCGCACCGGCCAACGACATGAGATCCTCAGTGGCAAGAGGCCCGACGGGACCTTTGCCACCAGTGCTGCAGCCATCTACCCTGTGCGCTTCTGTAAAGCTCTGGCCAGGTCATTTTATAATGCTCACGTTGCAAAGATTGCTGCCTCTTTCCAGAGGCACCTGTGAGAATTCGGCGTTACCAGCTTGCAAGCATGCCTGCAGATTTGGCATGTAAAGTGTGTGCTCTGTCGACTTCGCCGTGGCGTCTCGCGCCACCACCCGCAGCTCGCCCTCACACCTGACTTCTGGCAAAAACGAGCTCTGATGATATTTGTGCTTGCACGGTTTTCATCTGCGCAATCCGCCGCCATTCGGGGGCTCAAGGCGCACCATCCAGCCATCCCCACCTCCTCCTTCTTCTTTTAACCTTGCTCCTTGGCATGTAAAGTGTGTGCTCTGTCGACCTCGCCGTGGCGTCTCGCGCCACCACCCGCAGCTCGCCCTCACACCTGACTTCTGGCAAAAACGAGCTCTGATGATGATGATGATGATGATGATGATGATGATGATTGTGATGCTAATGGTGATGACGATTATGATGATGCTGCTGCTGATGATGATGATGCTGATGATGATGGTGATGGTGATGGTAGTGGTGATGGAGATGAGGAGGAGGAGGAGGAGAAGGATACGGAGAAAGTGAGGACGAGGAGGAGAAGGTGTCTTGTTCTTGGCCTCTAATGGGAACGGGCCTCTAATGGGGCCTCTTGAGGTTTCTGGGGCAGTCTTAGGGGACTCGTGGCCCGTCTGACGCCTTCGGAGGCCGTCTTGGGGGCCTCACTTGGCCGTCTTGTTGCCCTCTTGGAGCGCTTCAGGGCCGTCTTGTGGACCTCTGGGGATCCCCTTGGGCGATCTTTTGGTCCTCTTGTGCCGACTCGGGGCCCCTTTGATTTTGGGTCCCTTTGGGCCGACTTGGGCTCCATTTGGCGGTCGAACACCCATAGAGGCGGGAAAATCGAAGTCATTCGAAGACCTCGGGAACATCAATAGTTTTGGCTTCGCCAGGCTGTCCAGGAGGACCTCGTGGAGCCCCCTTGGGCCGTCTTGAGGGCCTTGTTAGCTGCCTTGAGGCGGTCTTGGGAGCCTCTTGAGCCGTGTTGGACCATCTTTGGCCGTCTCAGTCTCATCTCGCCTGACTCGGAACGGAATTGGAGGCCATCTTGGCCGTCTGGAGGCCGAGCATAAGGCCAGGGAGCAAATTCAGGGGGGCGGTTTTCGGCAGGTGCGCGCGGCGGCGGCCGTAGAAAGCACGAAACAGCCTCCCAGACAGCAGACGAGCATTCCAACACGCCCAGCCCGTGCAGGCAAGGTAGCGGATTCGTGGCCGAGGCTCGCCGTGGCAAGTCAAGCCTCTCCGTGCTTTGCTCGGCATTCTTCTGGCAGCATAGCGTCTGTGCTACCCCCTCCTTGCCTTACAGTGGGGGCCCATGCCAAGAAACACCCTGCTTGCCTCCAGGGTACCCTGTGTTTCGTAGGTTTCGACGGTTCTGCAATGGAGAGCGTGACGAAACATCGATGGACGTCCTGGGGTCTCTGGGTTGTGTTTCTTGTGGAAGGTTTCTCGTGGTCGAGCCTCTACTGCAGGTCTACTGCAGGGGTCCCATCGCCGAGCGCGATGCGATAGCAGCGTCTTGCGAGAGCAGTCTCTGGCGCGCTTGGGTTTGGTCCCCCCGCTGCCCCCAAAAAGCCGCGCGCCAAAGGTCTCCCTTACCCTGGGTCACTCTTGCATGTAGCCGACCTGTACCTAGGATTGCCAGCGACTACAAAAGGATATGGTTACGCCGGGGTGTTGTTTGTGATCGGCACCGTTGAGGCCTGGGTTTCTTGTGGACGGTTTCTTGTGGACCGGCCTCCACTGTACAGGAGGAGCTCCAGAGCGTCTTCAGTAGCTACTGGGTGAAGACGGCGTGGCTGCAGCAGTGCCGAGTCGGCACCGGCGGCGGCGCCACGGGCCCTCAGCGGAAGCACCGCGGGTTTGGGTTCGTCGTCTTCTACGACGGCGATGCGGTAGAGCAGATCATCGGAAGCGGTGACTCGAAGTTTATCCGTTGGCCTTCGGCCCCTCCCGCCCTTAGGGCGCGGGTGCGTTCTTTCACTCTCCATCCCTCTTATCCATCCATCCCTCCCTCCAACCGTCGATTGGCACAGGTTGAGAGTTTGGCGAAGGGAGGGGGTGGAGGAGGAGGAGTATATGGAGGATGAGGATGTGGACGAGGAGGATGGGGAGGGGCAGGAGCGAGCAATAAACGCCTGCGGCAGCAGTCAGCAGTGAAGGCCCACGGGAAGACTTTTGAGTGCATCTCGGAGGCCTCTGGAAGCCCTGTTTGGGGTCTTGAGGTCCTCCCGGAATGATATCCTTCCAGAAGTGCACTCGTTAGGGGGGTTAGAAAGGCTCTCTATCGGACCCTTCGCGGGTTTCTCCTGGGCCCCCCCCCTTGGCTTCTGAAGCTCACCTCAGGCTGAAGGAGCGGGAAGGGGTTCTGTTCTTAGTTGCCTCGATACGCCCGGTTTGAAACGCAACACGTCCCGTGTTCAAGACGTCCGGGCCAATACGTTGCGGGTTGGCTCTGCGCATTGGACCACGTTTTGGCGAATGCATCGCGTCGGACCTGCGTTTCCAGCCTACGCGTTGAGCTCCGCATCAATACGATACGTGTTGCGTGTTGCGTATCGGGGCAGCTGAGATGCTTCGGAGGTGGATCGACCTCCTACCCTCTGACACGTCGAGTAAGGAATTGGCCGTTTTCGGTTCGCGAGGGGGCGTCGCGGCCGCCATTTTTGCGGGTCCAGGTCCGTCGGTTTCGGTCCCAGGCCGTTTCCACGAAGGGGAGGTTTACGAAAGGGAGGTTCGTCCACCGCCGCATGATGTTCTAACGAATTCGACAGGCTCCGGTGCCGCCACGGAGCCACCGCAGGGCCCTCCTGGCGGGCTTCGGGGGTCCTCCTGGAGGCCACGTGCGGCCCAAATTCGGGCGGACCCGTACACGTCGGGCATGCCTCTCTACGGGAGGAGTATGCAAACAACAAATATAAGATATAGTCCGAAGACTTTTTTGTGACTTTTGTGAGTTTGTTCGGCGCATTTGTTTCGATTTTTTTTTTTGTTCGTCCAAAGTCCCCCTGAAGGGTGACAGGCCCGACCTAAATCTCGAGCCGTAGTGCAGCATTCTGGGCCCTCAGATGAAATCGGGTCGGAGGATTGCGCCGCATCGCCGGTGCATCGGCGTCGCAGTTCGGTGTGACGCCCGATTTGTTTATAGCGAAACGTGCGGCATTTTTGGCCCATCGTGGACGCAATGATAACCGAACGTCCGAGAATGGTACGATCATGGAAAACTCTGGCGTGGATTGATGATCCTGGCGGGCTGGCCACCAGGGCTTCGAAGACAGCCCAAGAGGCCCCCGAAAGGAGTTTCGCACGGACCCTTGCTCCGTCACAAACAAACACACAGGCACCCTCCAATTGATTGTTCTTGGGCCTCGGGGGAGGGTGGCGGTGTGTAAAGCGCTATTGCGAGCCATCGACTCCATGCACCGCCACCCTCCCTGAAGGCACATGCAAAGTTCACAGAAGGGTTTTTGTGTCAGCGTGTTCGTAGCATACTTGTGGTCATGTTGGGGCATGTTGGTCGTCGAGGCCTCTGTCTGCTCTGCCTGCCTCGCTGGAAGAGTCACGATGAGATCCCCAGAAGCGCCAAGACCCTTCCAAAAGCTTCAGGGATTCGGGGATTCCGGGGTCTGGGCCCTGTCGGAGATTTTCTGCGATCTTCGATTTTGAACGACTCTGGTGGGGCCTGATGACACTCCGCGCAGAGCCCTTGCCACTACGGCGGATGAGATACTAGGGCGACGAGATCTATACATATCCACTGCTCCCGGTCAGGCCAATCCTGGGCCCAAGAGCTGTGTATACGCCCTCCTGGCTTGGCCAGGGAGGCATATACACCGCTCCTGGGCCCAGGATGGGCCTGGCCAGGAGCAGTGGATATGCATAGATCTCGTCGCCCTAGATACTATGACAGACTATGCTAGGCTACGATGTGACGCGTCGCGTTGCAACGCTACGCTGCCATATTATGGGCTACGGCACGTCGCGCTATGTAATACTCTGTGATGCAAGATTGTGGTACGTTTTGCAACGCCATGCCGTACCACGCTCTGCTACTATGCAAACTTCTGGAGCTAGTTTGCATGCCATGGACGTTTCTGCTAGATTCGGTTGCACCGTGCTAGATACAGAACTCTACGTTCGGCGATGCAGTACTACTGATGTCATGCTATGTCATACTGGGTTGATGCGAAAAGCAACGCAATGCTATATCGGGATATGCCACGCGTTAATATGCTAAGCTGCTAGGTGTTGCCACCATGTCTTGCTGTGTTGCTACCATGTACTCGTTCACGGCGCCGTTTTCGCCTTGTATTTCATGTGTGCCCCCAGCGGAAGCAGTACCGACACTACTTCTGATTTGGGACGCGCTGGGTTCTTTCAATAAGATGGCAGTGATCTTTCCTGGAGTAAGGTTGTTTACATCGTGCCTACGGGCACGGGGGCGGATCAAGCTGGATGGTAAGTTCGAGGGCAGGCAGCTCGAGGTGAAACGAGCTGTGAGACAGGCCACGGAGCCGCAGGCCTCGGACGGAGACGTGCCAGTGCCACCGCAGCCTCGGCAGCCGGTGCAGCCATCGCAGGCTCCGTGGGTCACGTTCACGTCGACCCCTGTGGACCAGCAGGCGAGCTCGGGGGCTGGTCCGACCCAGCATGCTCAGCCGTGGCCCACCCAGCAGGCTCAGCCATACTGCATGCTTCAGATGCCATGCGGCGGCGTGCAGCCAATGATGCCGCAGCACATGCCGCAAATGCCGCCGATGCCGCCGCAGATTCCACCGTTGCAGCAGATGCAGCAGATTCAGCAGATTCAGCAGATGCCGCAGGTCATGCAGGTACTCCATCAATGGCAGGCACCACATGCATTGCCTCAGCAGCTGCAGTTGGGATTGGCGCAGCCCCAGCAGCCGCAGCCACAGCAGGTCCAGGGCGGCTGCTTGCCGCCGTGCGGGCAATTTAGGATGGCCACCCTTCCAGGTCCTACTCAAAGATGATTCTTTGCGCTTCGCGTGCTCCCGCCACGTCCATCCAAGAAGAATCGTCTCTCCGTTTTGGGCCGGTGAGGATGGAGGGTAGCACTTGGGTTCCCCGTTGGGGCCTTGTTGGGAGCGTGCTGGAGTCCTCCCCTCCTCTCGTCTGCTCTGGCTTGGCCTGGTGTGGTTTTGGCTGGTCTGGTGTATTCGTCTCTTGTGTGTTCTGGTCTTGGCATCGCTCGGACGTGTGCATTTTTTCTCGGCGAGAACCATCGAGGACCATCCTGGACCATCGAGCAAAAGAAAACACGCACGACACCGAAACATGCACGAGAAATGGACGTCCGAGCGACGGCAAGTGGTCGGATCCCCCTCGCCCCGCTCGGCCGCTCTCGTCGTTCTCCCCCCATCGTGCACACCGGCCAATTTGCTGCTCGGTTGCCCCGAAGAGCCACACGCTGGCGCGGACTGCCTCTGCCTCGCCGCCGACGAGAACAAGTTCGGGTCGGGTCGGGTTTGGTCTTGTGCAGTGCGGCCTGGCCGAGTCTGGTGACGAGTCTGATACGGTCGATGCTGATTTGCAGGTTGATGGGCCGGACCCGAAGAGAAGTAGGAACATGATCAGGAGAAACATGTGGTCGATGAAAGCAGGGGCAATGTTACCACCAGCAGGCGCGGGGAAGGAACGGGAAGAGAGAGAGCTAGGAAGATTGGGCGAGTGCAGCGGCAATGCTGCAACACACCTTCCCGTCCCAAGCCCCATTCCTCCATTGCTGGAAGTGCCGCCCTTGGATGAGGAGCGCCCAGTTGGCCTGCCACTTACTCAGGCGAGACCCTGTGCTGTAAAGCATCCACTCGCCATCCTTTCAGCCAGAAGACACGCATAGCGAGGGAATCTAAATTGCCAGGGAACTGTCCAGCGGTACCCCTGTTTTGGAAAGGAACTCTCATCCAGCCGCGCCAGTGCTCCCAAATTTATCAGCCTTCTGCGTGCAGTTTGTCGAGGTCTGAAGCGAGCGCCTCCTGGTGAAATGGAATCACATTATATCCGTGCAGATGTTGCGCAGATAGGATCACTGGGTAGTAGAAGGTGAGGAGGTCTCGAGCGACAGTCGCATTTCGGCAACGTGCTGGTCTCGGCACTTGTATATGATGAAATTCTGGACGCTCGGCTGCTCACACACACGACCCTCCGCCTGGAAGGAGAGCAGTCGTACAGGCCAGTACGCAAACTTGTGAATTTCCTGCTGGAATGGAACCATGAGGTTTACATCCGTTGGTCGACTTTCGGTGAGGAAAGGGATGGAGACCAAGTGGGTGAAGACAGCGAGGTATCCGACTGGCCTCACAGCCAGTTGCTGCGCTTCCTCCACTCCATCTACGGTGACCAGATCCCCAATAATGGGCACCCCCATCACATCCCTTGGGACGGCCATAGAGTTGCAGCAGCCAATGCCATTGCGCAGCTGGTTGGGAGTAGTGAAAAGTTCCAGGAGGACTGGCTCACCTTCTCGGCCGCGCTCGACTGCCAAAGAGGGCAAGACCCCTGGCTGCAGCCGTTGGAAACGTTGCACCGCTTCTTATCCCCCAGGAAGGACGATCTCGCATGGGGAACGCTGGAAGTCCTCGCTGGCGAGCGCAGCGCCCGGAGCAGCAACGACGCCGGAAATCACTCCCCCGCCGCTGCCTGGCACAAGCGCCCTCCAGCCTCGGGCGGCCACACCATCGGTGATGACCTCAGCCAGCAGCGCCCAGGGGCCACAGAAGCGACGAAGAAGAGAAAGGAGGAACCGTCCCCGGATAGGGACTCCCACGGTAACGGCGATAGTCCGTTCCAGGTAGACTGGGATGAGGACAATCCAGAGAGGACGGTCTCCATGATCCACAGCCCCCCGCAGCAGGACGAGGAAGCCGAAATCAGCGGCCCCAGCGGCAGAGACGGCTCCCTCAAGCGGACAGTGCTGTGGACAGTCCCCCCCGACAAAGAGGAAGCTGCCAATTGGACGCCTTGCGCCACGGCCCGCTTCCGAGAGGACATGGAAGAAATCCGTGACAAAAGGGCTGACCAAAGGAAACTTCGAGGGAAAGGAAGCAGGCCAGACTGCAGTCAGGAGTCTATCCAGGAGCTCGCAGCCCCAGCGCACGAGAACCGCCAGGCGCTCAGCCCCCGGCAGGAAAGCAGCCCAGAGAGACGGCCGCGCCCACAGGCTGAGCCACTCCCACCTCCACATCAAAACGACCCCCTAGGAGGGCCCCCCATGTACATGAGGTCCATCGACGAGGCCGACATCCAGAGGGACGAGCCAGCCCAAGAGAACGTCACCAGATTACAGAAGGCACTCGGAGGCGCATTCAACGGGGCGTGGATAGGATGGGTTCGCAGGGCAGGCAGCCTACAGGGTCTACCGTGGGTCGACATCCACTCGGACCCCAGGGGGAACACAAGAGAGAGGTGCGAAGAATTCCTGCGGGCGTGGGAAGCCGCCGGTTACGACGCTTATAAGTTGGTGAGACACTACCATCTCCGTGTTGAGTGGCAAAAGGTCGTTGAGAAATATCGTAGCCTACTACATCGCAGCGCAAGGGCCAGCGCATCCAAGGGGCAAGACAACAAGGGCAACCCATACCCTTGGTCCGACGGAAGGACGGTACCCACCCCCCCTGACCCACCCGACAGGGCAAGTCACCACGAGCAGACCCAACCCTCCAGCACATACAGCGGGGTTGTGCAGCAGCACCCATGGAGCAGGCCCAGAGACGGCACAGCCGCCCCGCCAGCGTACACCGACAGGGAGACCACCTGGTCGGGAGCATCCAGCTCTGGAGCCCCATGGCGCCCAAGGCCGCGATGGGAAGGGTGGGGCCACCAGGATTGCTCTTGGAGGGGGGCTTCGTGGGGGAACAGGGAGAAAAGGACCGCCCCGAAAAGTGACGAGCAATACGCCGACAAGCGACAGCGAGGATGGGAGCTCGCGCGCTGGTAGACTGGCAGAGGGCCTGGCAGGGGCCCCCCGACTAGGGCGAGGCCCGCCCTACAAAAGCCGCCAAGACGTACGGCGCCAGGCTGCCGGGACAACGCGTGACCCCCCTCCGCGGGAGCTTTGCCGCGCACGTGTACCGTGGGACTTCCCTAGGACGTTCCCACCCTAGACGATGTCCTGCGGCTCAGGCCGCTCACCCTGACCTTTCGCCACACCCTCCAATTCCGCGGCTATCGGCTGCACTCCCCTGTCCTCGTCGCCGCGTGCTGTCTGTCATTCCGCGGCGATCGGCTGCTGACCCCCTTTGACGCCCCATTGCTTCTACACTCATGACTGCGGCTATCAGCTGCTAACCCCTTTTCTCGTCGCCACAGGGTGCGATTTCCGATAGAGGATGAGTTGCCGTGGGCCCGAGGGCCACTGGGTCACCACCAGGCGGCCGCACCTGTCGGCAGACAGCGGCAGGTCATGTTTCACCGATGCAGTGGGCCACTGGGGCGGACTGTTGTCACCTCCTGGGGTTGAGGTACCCCCCCCCCACCACCGCGATAGTTCCTGCGTTCTCGTGGGCCTTTAGCCCGCGACGTATGCGGGCCGGGACGCGCCGGGCGCTGGCCGCAGCCATTCCGGTTGCCCATCTTCTGGAGTCGGCAACACGCAGTGGCTTCCACCTCGTCGACCGTAGGGGCGGCGACTTCTGACCCCCCTTTCACATGGGCGTGTTGACAGTACGGCCGGCCGCTTGTCGGCATCGGCGGATACGGTCGTCGGTCAAGGCACCGTTCTGGCGCTTGTGTTAGACGTTGGCTACAGCCACAGGAGAGCCTCCGGGGTGCGCAAGCCGCACACCGCCTTGGTACCAGAGGCCATCGCGGGCGCTCTCCTTTGTGGTCGGCCATCTCCAGGCATTGACCCGAACCCCTTCAGCGGCGCGCAGTCTGGCCCACGTTCCAAGTGAGTGAGTGGTTTTGGCACGTTCCGCCTGGCAGTCTGGCCCCACCCGCGGGTCCGACCTTTCCGCCCTCCCCACTTTCGCCGGCGTGCGCTCGGCGGCTTCTGGGGTCCGCCACCGCCAGGGCTTCAGCTGGCATCTTCTCAGTTGCATCCTTTGCTGGCACATGTCCAGCGTTGTTAGTTTTCTGCTGCTGGCACATGCTCAGCTGCTTGGTAGTCGCGCGGCGGCGCCCGGGCTTCTGCTCGTGCCTTCGCGGTTGCCTTCTCGGCCGGCACTTGTACTGCGCCGTTAATTATCTGCTTTCCCGCGCGCTGTGCCCCAGCCTCGTTCACGCCGCCCTCTGGACTTTTCCTTGCGGGCCGCGAATCAAAAAAAGTATGCACGCCCGTTTTTTTTTGCGCCTTCTGTAGCTAATTCGACTTGCCCGTTGCCCAGACCCCCCGCCCACCGCCTGCCTCTTCGCTTCCGGCCGCGACCGAAAGAGTGCCCACCAGCCCCCCCGCCGCCGCTGCCGCAGCTGCTGCTTCTGTGAGCTGGCCCGGCTGGCTCGTGCTGCGCCCAGCAGCTAATTCAGTTTGCCCGTCGGCCTGGACTCCCTGTTCGCCGCCTGCGCTGTTCGCTGGTGGCCGCGATCAAAAAAATACACCCACCAGACGCGACCTCAACGTCCTCGCGGTTTTCAGCGACAACCTGGACGCCAGCACTCGCTACCACCTCCATCACTACCTTGGCGAGACAGGATCCCACGGCCCCTTGCGCTCGCGACGCCGACGCCCCGCCAAGAGATTCCACGCTCGCTTGGCTGCAGCCGGACCCTGGGCGCACTTCGGAATCCGCGCGCGACGGTTCCCCGACGGCTGCTGCCCCCAGGCCCGCCCCAGTCAGCAGTGGCAGCGGGCTGCCAGCGCACTGGGCGGACCACGCACACCCGCCGTCAGGCCCCTGGGCGACAGACCCCTTCTCCCCGAGTGAAGAGGCTTGCTCTCCAACGAGCCCAGCACCCACAGTCAAGGCGGAGGCCGACGAGATTGATTACGATGAGGACAGAGGTGATGCCGCCCCCCCCCCGTCTCCTACACCCCC